GGGAACACAAAGACCTTGGCCAAGTCTCCATCTCCCAACTCCTATGGTTCTCCAACCCCAGAGTGCTTGGACCCTCCTGGGGAGCTTGGTGTAAATATGCAGCCTAGAGCTGGGCCCGGCCCCTGGAGGTTCTGCTCAAACACGTCCAGATCCTCAGCCCAGGATTCTGCATTTTCACAAGGCCCCTCCCACCGTGATGGTGACTCAGAATCACACTTTCAAAAACGTTGCTAACTCCTTCACCAAACTGGGAAATGGCTTAGGCAAGTCACTTATTGCTCTGGGCCTGGCTGTTTCTGTAAAAGAAAAGGCCTAGTATATCATCTCTAAATTCCCTTACAGCCGCCCGCTAAGAGCATATACCAATTTTATGATTAACTTCCAGGCAGCTGCTGAACTGCCAAGGAAGTGTTCATGAGGACACGGACTGACTCCTTTTTAAAAAAGGAGGCCTAGCAAAGTGTGTTCAATCAGTGTCTCTAACCTTTTTTAATTCCACACCCATCAGTAACAATTTGGGGGGTACTCACTTTCAATAGATGTGTATTTTTATTTATTTATAATTTATGCTGGTGCTACTGAACTAGTATATTGTTTACATCATAAAACATACACAAGATAAAAATTAAATTAGAAGTTCTAACATTTTCTTCGCACATATCACTCTTAAGACCATTGGGATTAAACTTAGGACAAATTCTATTCAACATCCAGTAGAATGTGAGCTATTTTGAGGGCACATTTTGCTTTATTTGTCGTTGTATGCTCAAAGCCCAGCACAGTTCCTGGCTCATGGTCCAGGAATGTTTTTGAATGAATGAAGAAAAGTATGACTTGGTATTTGAAGTGGCTAAGCTTCAGTTATCAGGAGTGTTCATCTATATGGAATATCTTTTTCTTCTGTGGTAGTCGACAATGTGACTGAACATAGAAAATAAAGAGTGAAGTTGAGAAGTATCACTCATATTTGAGGAAACTGTCTGTTAGAATTTGGGGAGTAGGATCAATATTTATGAAGCTCAGAAAGCCCTCTTTGGGGCAAGAGAATGACTCACAGTTCATGAAAAGGTAAAAGCATTGGTTGTTCTGTAACAGGTATGCATTAAATACCATATGTATTCATGAAAGCTTTCGTGTGTGTGTTGGAGACATTCTTTAGGAAGTAGTAGAGATTTCCTTTTCCAGGGATATGCTCTGTCAGATGCAATTTATTTAAGTGAATTTTTTTTTTGGTTTGGGGAAACCAGGTAATATTTTCAAAATGTTCTTTAAAAATTAGTATGTACTGGACCTTTCTTTATGCAAAGACATTTAAAACCCCATTGCTCACACAAAACATAGTTTGAGGCTTATGTCATATGAAGAGACACTCTTCAAAGTGCTATAGGTGTATTCCTTTAGTATTTTGTTTGCGGAAATGATGTGAAGGCTGAATTATAGTTATCTGCCTGTTGGTCATTGGCATGGTAATCTCCTTAGTGAGATATAAGGATCACTGGTAACTGCTGGAACTGGGAGAAAGAATTCTCTTGGGAAGGAGAGGGTAGATCTGTCTCTGAAGAAATGGAAAAAGTGATGAAAACCTACTTCAATTAGTCCAGCACGTCTCAAACATTCTTGTCTTAGGACCCCTTTACATTCTTAAAAATTACTGATGACCCAAGAGAGCTTATGTTTATCTGGGTTATATCTATAAATACTAACCATATTGAAAATTAAAATGGAGAAATCTTTAAAATACAAGAATACTCATTCCATTCATTAGCCATTAGAACAATGAACTCATCGCATCAGATAGCCTCTAGAAAACTACACTGTAAACTCATGATAGAATGAAAGTGAAAAAGGCAAATAATATTTCAGTATTATTATGAAAATAGTTTTAACTGGATGAACCCATTGGAAGGGTCTCAGGAACCCCCAGGAGTTCCTAGACTACACTTTCTGAACCATTGACTTAGTTGATTCCAGAGGCCAAAACCTGACCCATGTCCACTCCTGGAAGAAGCTGTCAACCAAGATGTAGGAGTGACATCTGGCTGGTGAAGACTGAGGAATTTCATTTGGTTGGAGGCTCCATTGGTGACAGCTGGTGGCCCTCCAAATTATGACAAAGCACGTACCATGGTGTGCTGAATGTGGAGGATACGGTATTTATAAGAATGACCTTTTCACCTCTGAAACATTTGGAACTGGTGACCTTCTCTTCTTGACATGATCCTTGACACAGTGACCCAGGTTCCTGTGAATTCTTTGCTGTGGCCATCTCTGGAAATCATTAGCTTCTGGGTGTGGGTAAAGAATTCTGAAGGGTAGTTGATCCAGAGCTCAGCCCTCAAGTTTCAATAGCAGTATTCTTTTGAACTGAGATCTTTCCATTTCAGCAAGAATTTTTGGCTGTGTCAGAAACAGAGTGAAAGAGTTACCTATTCTCTTGGGTAAATATTTCACATTTTATTATTTACATTTTTAACTATATAAATACGCAAACATTTGTTGAATGAATGAAATGTGAAGCGTGAAATCAACTGAATGTACTAACCATGGTCTTGGAAGGACAGATCTTTTCGTAGGGCAAAGTGGAGGAAGAATCTTCTCTCTTCCACTGAGAGAAGGAGGTGGGGTGGACTCACTCTTGATAGAGATAGGTTGGTCGTTTGGAGATAGGTCAGGGGACCAGGGGCAGAGGTGGTTACAGTGTAAAATAACAATGTGAAGCCCTTTGTTCAAAAAGCAAGAAAAAAGGGCATTAAAGGTATTAAAATATAAAACCTTTTCCTTTCTTGCACAGTCTGTCTCTCAAATTGTCATGGTGTTTTTCATTTGTTATCTAATGTAATTTTAAGTCAATAAAAATTAAAAATTTAAATTATTAGCATGAATTATACCATTCATCTTTACATTGTGGAATGTCAGTTTTAAATAGAAATATAAGAGCACTTAACTTGTGTGCGGAATCACTGAAATTATGCAATTTGTTTTTCATAGCACATACATGCATATGAATTTAATTCTTTCCAGAACAGTCGAAACACTTCACAAAACTAACTCAATTGTTTTCATTTCACTTCTTAAAACGTGCACATTCTACCACACTCTGGAAGCAGATGGCTTTCATAACACGCTTACTTTGTGCTCACTTTGAGTCTCACGAAATTCCCACACAAGGTGGGTCCACCAGAATACTGTGCTCATGAAGCACCACCCAAGCTATACGTGAATGGTGCCGCAAGGAATAGGGGACACACGTATTTGCATATCTCCTCTACTCAGATGCATGCTCCATTGTCCCATTGGACCTCACAAGTTCAAGGCTAAAATTTTTAAGAACATTAAGGTGGGGACAGCTGTGATTTAACCAAGCGTGGGGTCCTGTTCAACTGCACAGGTCACACACCCCTGAAGCTGACCCTGACATGACGGGATGTTACTGTGCTGAGAATGGAGGCTCATTCTGGTCAGTGGACCTGATCTTGGGTTATGGTGTGTGCAAATCTCTCACAAAGGTGGGACATCCAGGATCCCACAGGAAAATATTTTTCCCACAGGACCAGGGAGGTTGGATAGCAGCAGAGGGAGCCCAAGATGATTTGTTGGGATGCATAAAGAAAATGATAGAATTCCTTTTTCTACTTACTTTTTAATCTCGTTCTTTTAAAATTTCTGTGTAGTGTGTGTGTTTTCAGAATGCACAATTCGTATCAGCAGAACACTATATGCATATAATTTATAAGTATGTAAACATATGCTAGTATCTGCACTCAGAAATGTTTTACTGAAAGGACCACCTGAAAAACCAATTGGAGAGCACCACCCGAGAAGACAGCATAAGGAAGGAATCAAGGAGGAGAGTCTAGGGACTGAGGAGAGGTCTATTTTTACCTGAGAGAGGGGCAGAGTAGAAAGTGGAGACAGAATACAGCACCCGACTGAGGTCAATCCATACCCCACCCCACCTTCCTCTGGTAGGGGATGATCAGGTCCATGTGAGCTTTGGCCAGACAGGTAGGACTTGAGTTGGTGGGAGCCCCTTGGTCTACAAGGGGGAGAATTTAAGTTGTGTCCCTGGAAGAGAGCCAAGGATAAAGCCAGGGCATCACTGGCTCCTGTCAGGTTCCCATGAACACGAGAGAGACTAAAAATGTGAGGCAAAACAGGAGGAGCCAAGTCAGCAATAATAACTTACTGAGTCACATGCCATTGAACTCACTAAGAGGTAGGTCTTATTCTTCCCATTTACAGATGAGGAAATGGAGAGCCAGAGAGTTAAGTGACTTGCTGAGGGTCACAGAGCTAATTATGGCCAAATACGTCTATTACCCTGCTCACCTATAGGTTGCAGCAGGCTGAGCAGAAATACCCCCACGAGGCAGGAACTAATCTTGTTATCATCCCCATTTTACAGATGAGGAATCTGAGGTTCAGTAGAAGGCTGTGGTGAACAGAGCTTGTTCTGGACAGAAGTTGGGCATGTGGTCCAGGGGTGGGTCACACAAGTTCAAGTCTAGAGACCAATTGCCACGGCTGAGATGATGGCCAGCCTCCTGTTCAGAGTGAGCCCAATTGTCTAAAGGGATGGAGGGATCTAAGAGATCAAACGGTAATCCCGGGTTTTAGAAACGGGTGGACACAATCTTTAGCTGCTGGACTGGAAATTATAAATTCAATTTACTTCATCTTTCAAAGCAAGCTCAAGGGCATTAAGAATCCCTTTATAATGATCTCTTTGGTATTTACAATATCCCTAAAAGGTAACAAAGCTGCTTCATCTCATATTTATATCTACGCAGAGCTAAGGAGCTGGGACGAGGCCTTCCCGCTCATGACTGAGGGAGAGGCTGTCCAGCTCCGAACTCCTGCACCAGCTCTGACACACCGCTGCAGATAACGCCGCTTCTCTCTGTCCGGCCATTCCTTATTTTACCTCATTTGGTTAAACTACAAGCTCAGTGCTTGGAACTTCCGTTTTCTTATCTTGAACATCATGTACTGTTCCAGCTCACAGCCAGCCACCCAGGAAGGAAGCGTTTTGTTCCTTTTAGACAGAGGGCCTGGCCGGCCACATGGCCACGCTGTCAAAAATCTCTGTAAGTAATGTTATCTCTATTGCGTTACAAAGATCTATCAGAACTGGAAAGTGCATGGCGTTGGAGTTTAATAGTTAGTTATCTCTGGTCTGCTTACCTCACAATCAAATGAGAGAAGAAAAACTGCAGAGGAGAGAGAGGGTGGGTAAGGACGAGAGAGACAGACAGACAGAGAGAGAAAGAAACAGTCAAGGCTGAGCCTCTTTTCTTATCCATTTTGTTTTCCTAAACCCAATTACCACCTAAGAACTCAATATATCAGGCCTCAATCTATTTGATAGTTGTTGGGAACCTAAATTATGTGAATCCTTTGTTGTAGTCAACTCGCTATTCAAATTGGTATTATATGCTTGTCATTTTTAATATTACTTGAAATATGTTTTTATTCTCCTTCCCTTTTCTTTTTTAACTTGGATAACTTGGTTAAGTATTTCATAAAAGACGTAGAGGTTGCAGTAAATGCATCCTTTGGGCTGGGGGAAAAAAAATGATATTTGCACAGCAAGTTCTTAATCTTGAGTTTTTATTTTCCTGAGCCTTCTGGTTTCTCGGAACGTATGCTTTGAACAAGCTATTTGCTTTTGATTTACACTGCAGAGAATTTTGAGAAGTCCTAAATTAGACGGATAAAAAATGTTTCAAGTGGCGCAAAAACAAAAGAAATGTGACATGGAAAAATGCCTGAATCTATTCTACCTAAAAAGTTACAGCAGGAATTAAATTGTAAATTGGGCAGAAAAAACTCCACACCCATTTCTTTCTATTGTAGGAAATTTTAAAATGTACATTCAATTCTAGACTATTAGGAGTCATGGAAAGTTCATGGATGATCTATAAAAGTATTCGTGCCTGCTCATCTTTGGCATGTATATTTGTACATGTATGGAGGCTACATAGGACTGATGAGAAAATACACGATGTTTCAAATAATAGTTTTACTCTGAAAACTTGATTCTGTGCTCCTGGAAAGCTGTCTGGTTTAGCTCGTTCTCAACTTGTTCAGCTCTGATCCTCTGCCCGATCTAGAGCTGGGTTTATTCTTACGTTGATATACAGCATGTGCTTGGTTGGAATTCCTCTATCTCCTTCTCCTTTGTCATCTTTCTTGCTCTGCTCTCTTTGTATCTTCTTGGTCTCCCTTGGACGGTCTCTGGGAGTGGGGAGAAATGTTCCAGCAATAATAATAGCCAGTGCTTCCTGACGGCTTACCGTGAGCTTTCCATTTACCCTGATCTAAGCTCTCTCAATGTACCATGGCATTTAATCTTCACCACGACCTCATGAGGTAGGTTCTATTAATATCCCTATTTTAAAGTTGAGAAAACTGAGGCATAGAGAATTTAAGTAACTTGCCCAAGGATGTACAATTTTTAGAAGGTGTATTGGGATTTCATCCCAGGCGGTCTGCTTCCAAAGCACGGTGTGCTCATAACCAAATATTTCCTCCCATCTCCTGGCAAAAAATGGGGAAAGGAGGATGCTGGTTGTGGGGGATGGGAGAGTAATGACTTGAAGGAGGGCACAAGGGAGGCTTGTGGGTTGGAAATGATCTGTGTCTTGATCCACATGCTGGTCCATGCACCCTGTGAAAATTCGTGGAGCTGAATATTTATGTACTTTTATGTATGTGTACTACATTTCAATTGTATTAGAAACAGAAAAAAGGAAATGAGCAAAAATAAAGAATTAAGGTATATGTATATAAATGATGGTAAATTGAATAATAATCTGCCCTAAATAATCTTCTCATTAAAACGTCTCTGACTGAGGGGATTTGTCTCACACGTGGGTGGCCTGGTGGGTGGTCTGGATTTGAGTCTAGGTCTTGCCACTAGGCGACTTTGTGATAATGACTTGATCTCTGTCCATGTCTGTTTACTCATCTGCAAAACTGGGGATAGAGTATTCCTACTTTACAGGGTAAGATTAAATGATCTACCTCACATAAAGATTTGGAGGTAAAGGGAAGGTAATCTACTCTTTGTCATGCCGTGGTAATTAGGGTGTTCCAGCTGGTGCAGGGAAGGGAGTAATGGGCTTCACAGATAGTAACCATGATCCCTCTTCCTAAATAAAGTGTAGGTATTTATAAGCCATTTTGCTGGCAGGATCAAGGTGTATTCCTTCTCCAGGTAAAGAGCTCTTCCTTTCACAACAAATTGTATGACCAGCTCCAAGGTTAGCCAACCTGACACTAATAAATCCACTGGCTTCCCCTTGTTCACAAGGTGCAGACATTGGAAAGAGCACATTTTCCTGTCTGTGGTGTAAATCTTGTGCTCCAGAAGTAAAATGCTGAAGTGAAAATGAATAGGTCTATGTTATTTCCTAGCGTTTATGACAAAGGCCAAATTCCAGAGAGAAGCAAATGAAGAAAGGAAGAAGTTAAATTTCTTGGACAATATGACTGTTACTGTGTCTGCCCATTGGTTTGATGTGTTTTAAACCTGTAACGTCTGAAATCTTTGTTCCCTTCTTTTGTACCCTCCATCACACCGAGCTAGCCCGCAAGCATTTATCAGAAGCCTACTACGTGTGCCCCTTCACTGTGACCTTCTATGCCCGAAGTCTTGCCCTTCTTCACAAAGGCCCATTCTAATTTCGCCAACAGTCAGCTCTGCTTGCCACAATTCTGTCAAAGCAGACAAATTAAACATGTCAGGTGACATATGGAAGAAAAGGCTTTCTGATTTATTATGGAACTTTTTATGGATAAGAGTTATTTCTCTTGGCCTGGTACCTGCTCTTGAGGCTTGATCACATTTCAAGGCACTGCAGCCATTTACTCAAATATTCTAGACCCTCAGTTTGTGTTCACGCCTGTCTGTGTGTGTACACATCTGAATATGGTTGAAAGCTACAGCAAGGCTGTTGATTGCAAATTGAAAATGAAGGGGAAAGTTAAATCTTCCTGCAATCCTCGCTTATGATGATTTTAATGTTCACTAAGGCTATCTCGGTTGGGAAAAGGATTTAGGGTCACATGGCAATGAAAAAAAATCTTTGGTGTGGACAAGTTTGAAAACCGTGCACTATTTATTTGGAGAAGTGTATAGAAAGCTCTATTTTTCCCCCTTTTTTGTTTGCAAATAGAATGCTATTGTGTCGCTTGTGGTGTAGTTCCTTATAAAAAAAGACTTCGTGGTATGGGAAGGTCAGATTTGGGGTGATCGTTCTCCCTCTAGCTTTTCAGTTGTCACAACCAAATGAAGGATAATTTAAGAAGCACAGAGCTGGGTGATGGGTCTGGCAGAGCTGCCTGTCTGTGGGACCTGGTGGAAAGCTTAGCCCCAGCGAGGTAATTTACGACAGAAGACGAGCTCAGCTCCCTGCAGGCAGCACAACCTAAGTTCTCCGAAGAAGTCCTGCTTTATTGGAGAGCGCTGTAAGGCTGGGGACAGGATGAGTTATGGCTTTCCGTGGCTTTTTCTCTCTCCTTTTCCTTGTTGTGATTGTTATTTATTATTTGTGGGTAGGGATGAAGAGGGCTCACTCTGCCAACTTTTGAACCCTCTCTAAATTCATGGCTCTGAGTTTTGAACCGTCCCTGAACCTTCCTGCACTTGAGTTCCTATTCTCTTAGCATTCTGCAGCTTCCTGTTATGAATGGAGAAAGACTCGAAAGGTTTATTTTAAAAGGTGGGAATAATTCCTTAAACATCAAATAGCTCTTTAAAAAAAAAAAGCAACCTATTTTGATGAGTCAAGTGTAAATGAATTGGAAACATATGCTCCAAATCTCTCCCGGTTTATGCAACAAGTTCATGGCTGAATTACTATTAGGCTTTATTGGATTCAAAGTTGATATGAAATAACGGGGTAAGGGATGAGCCCAGACACATCAGTGCTTTTGGTTTCTACTGCTTTGTTCCTTTTTTTTTCATTATGAAATGGGCTTTGGTTGAGCTCTGAAAGCTGGAGAGAAGAGGAAAGAGTGGGAGACATTTATAAGCAGCATTCTGCCAAGTGAGAACTCTGTATTAGGAAATGGGGCATTTTGGCTAAAGATTTAAATTCTTGATTTAATGGCTGTAACATTAGGAGGTAGAAATAACTTTGAAATCTGGGCTGCCTAGCTCTCCACAACGTTGGAGCCCTTCTCATCACCTTCACGCCTGCAGCTCATTTGGTGCTTCCTTCCCAAGCTTCAAGTCCTGTCCTTAGGAACCCTGAGAGGTTATTTGGGTCTAGATCATTCTACGGCCAATTGCCTTAATTATGTCTTTTTGAAAGTCAGCCCTCTGGGTACACAGACAGCTCAGCAAAGGCAGCCTGGGATGAAATGGAGGAAATCCTAAGAAATTCTGCCGTTCCTTGCGGTCCCTGTGTTCAGCGGTGTCCATGCTGCTTCAACCTCAGTAGGCCTGTGTGGGAGCCCAGCAGGCTTTTGGGAGACAGAGTGCATGGTACGTGGCAGCAGTTAAACAAATGTCTACCAAATGCATGTCTTGGCAGGTGGACAGCAAATGCACATCTGATGCCTACAGGATGGCACCCTGTAATGCGTGAGAGTGTGGCCATAAGGCCACACACCAGACAAAGCCACGGAAAGAATATTTACTTTTGCTGCTAACATTCTCCATACATGCATGAGAAAACCACTTGCCGTGTTCTGTGGTTCTGCCCTGTTTCCCCACCTGAGGAAGATGGTCTCCCCGTTTGCCACCCACCTTGTAGGGTGGATGTGGATGAACGTGAGAAACCCTATAGGGAGTCTAGGGATGCCTGGCTTAAAGTCAAGCACCCACATAAGGCGCCAAGCACCAGGGAAACGCGTTTTTAGTCTTAGAGCCAGATGCTCAGGGGAAAAAGGAGGTGCATTTTGCACGCAGTTAGCCATCAGCTTAAAACATGCTTTCTACTCCTTTGTGGCGAGGAAAACACAGTTGTTAAAAGTTACTTTGTGATGACAGAATGTGCTGAAAAGAAACTGCCAAGAAAACCCCTTAGCCCAGCTCTGGCCCTGGAGTCCCGTTGCCAGCTGGGATTATCTGAAGTGG